TTTTTCATAATTTTAATTCCTCGTGCGATTATTTTGATATATGGCAAGCACACTGTTTGTTTTTTTGATAGCGCTACTGCGTTATGTTTTCCATGAATTCATCCAACAAGCTCGATGATCGCTTGGTACTGGCGTTTGCCAAAGAGTTGGAACTGTGATTGCAAGTGCGAGCTGTGCGCAGGTAGTTGATGCTGCTACTTGCTACGTTCCGTGTGCCTACGCCTTTTGCGGGTGATGAAGGGTCTTAACTTTTGGCGCATCTACAGTTGTTTCAGGCACATGTAACTTCAGTAGCAGCAACTATGTTATGCCCCTCATGCATCTAGGTCACGATTAATCGTACGTCGGTGTTCACCAAGTAACGGGTTGTTAGAGATTCTTTAGACTCCGGCACTTAAAGGGTTACGAATTAAGGTTTTTTGTTGTTGGTCTTTTTCTTGTGATATGTCTTTGCAATTTCATGTGGGAACTTTCATGCAATAAGTTTTTTAGATGTTCCAAACTGCTCAAGAAATTTCCTTAGTTATTAGCAAAACTTTCGGGTTAAAATCGGTTCATGAATCTATGCTTTTCTATCATATATTTCAGCAAAGTTACCCAGTCTACGAATATATTTATTTGTTGTTTAAGTGCACTTGCCTCTAAGGACCCAGTAAAATCCAGAAAGTTACAGGTCGAAAGTGTTTTTCCGGAGAAGCCATTTCGGGCTATTCAATTCGCCTTCGGCTTCCTACGCAGCTTCCGGAATTCTTGCAACTGCTGTCCATGATGCTGTAATGAATCCTGCCGAGGTTTGTCAGCAAATATCTAGAATGTCTTCTTGGCCTGTACTTTCTAAATGAAAAAATTGTAGGTGCGAAATAGTGCTCTGTCAAGAGTATTAATTAATGCTATATCTGCAGTCTGCCGTGACAACTGTATTTATTTCAGGTGGTGAAGCAGCGCATGCAAATGGTTTTTAGCCCCTATGGAAATAGTCTGGAGTGCGTGAGGTGCATTTATGTGCGTGAAGGTATCAGGGCATTCTATCGTTCATACATCACTCAGTTGACTCTCAATATACCGTATCAGTGCTCACATTTTGTGATTTACGAGCTCATGCAGGATCTACTCAATCCTGAGCATTCGTACAACGCTCTCTCACATTTCATTTCCGGAGGTAAGCTCTCTTTGTTTTCCACTCTTCGTACAGCCTGCATATGTGCATATTACACATATGCGAACACGCGTAATTCGATGTCGCATAATTTTTAGGGCTTCTTCGACTTTGCTATAATCGAGCTGACCAGTTGAAATTTTGCTAACACTGTTCCTTGGTATGTGCGAGTCAGTAAAAATAGTCACGGTGTTATGAAACCAGCATTTGCACACGGACAGTACAGACGCGAAGAAAAGATCGACCCGAAAATCTTCAGGATGAGTGGAATGTAGAACTGCACATACCAGACTGTGAAGCAGTGAAAGTTCTTAACAGCGAGCATCGACTGGAGGAGTTGTGGGCGCGTGCAGCTGGTGGGCGGGGCTGCCTGTTTCAGCTGCTCCAATCGAATCATTGTTTCAAGCACGAGAACAGCGTCGTTACCTGTCGTTGCAACAATCCATTCAATATGTTTTGAATTTACCATTTAAAGTACCAAGTTTTAATAAGTGCTAATAAAAGTGGTCATGAGTATATGTTTATACCGAGTGCGCTTTGTTTAGGATTTGCTGGAGGGGTGGCAGCAGCAATCACAACGCCTCTCGATTGCATCAAGACTGTACTAAACACGCAGCAGACGCCTCAGTTTGACAGCAATCATAGGCTGCTTTACCAAGGTCCCCGTGCTGCATCGTACAGGTATTTTTTTGACATTTTATGTTATAACTTACGGCGGCACAGCAAGGCGGGTGATGTGAGGCAAAAAGGTCTAGTAAGATGATTTAGACCTTTGTGTTACTTGGTGGTCAGTCTGCTTATGTTCTAGTTCAAAATAGTGACGTGAAGGAGAGTGGTGCGAGCACAACCTTTCTCGATGAGTTTAGATTGAAGGAACATTTTTTGAGCGCAGTGTAGCAAGGCCTTTTTTTTTTCTCTTGCCAGTGACATTTGTTGTATTTCCATACAAATTTTAAAAAGGAAAAAGGCACTGCTGTCATGAATTGTGCACTGAGGATCGGCAAAAAGTGATATTCTTTCTCCTGAGGATTGAGCTACTCATATTGCTTTGCAACATATACTGTTCTTTTTTCAGGGGATTCACTGACGGATTTCGTACGATATATTATTTGCGAGGATTGCGAGGTTTTTTCCGTGGCCTTCAGGCCCGAGTAATATTTCAGGTTCCATCGACAGCACTCAGTTGGTCTGCTTACGAGCTCTGCAAATATATTTTATCCCTGTGAAAGAGAGTGGCTTTCTTCTTCCTTGTCCTTGTGTATTGTGTCACTGTGCATTGGATCTTAAATTATTGTTAATTCATTGCCGAATTCGGATGTTTCTTCAGGATGTGCGAACCGGGAGGGATCTTCCAAATTTGAGTTACAGGACTGTTTTCCGTTTGGTTTATTACATTAAATTCTCTGGCCTCAGTGCTTGCCAAAGCATTCCTGCGGTTCTCGCTCTTCTCTGTTGTTTCGCGATTGTATTGGTCTTTTCCATTTGAACCAAAAAAAAAAAAAGAGAATGGAAAGCATTTTTCCGATGTCCTTGATGCCCTCTTTGGATCGCACTGATTTAATACGCTAACTTGTAAAGGCTGGTCATTTGTGTTCCACGTGTTTTTATATAATTTGTAATACAGGTGAATGCCATTGCCGGTTGAAATAACATGTTCGAAGTTTGCATATATTTTCATCCGTGACTTCTTTTTATCTCTTTGAATGTTGTTACTATAATTTTAATTTTTCTTCGTAGCAACTGACCGTAGTGCTCTAGACAATAAACAGTTCATTCGCAGCGAGCAATTAAAATGATATTTTTGTTTTTTCTGAAGCGTACATACGTCGCTTTATCTGCTTGAAATGTTTGTTTTTGTCAAAGCTGATGGCATCTGAGACAGGAAAAGAACCTTCTTTTCCCTGCTGAATAGGCGTTATTATTCGAAAAAACGCGGAAATTTGGAGATATGAATGCAGAATTTAGCCTGGGTGGAGAGAAGGGGAGGGGAAGGGGGCCGAATTCAGCTGGAGATGACGAAATTGCTTGTGGGAACATCCTAGGACTGGACCAGTAAATTGTATCAAATTCCGAGGAAATTTTACAATGAGGCAATAGCAGGGGGATGTTGTTTTGGACACATAACTTTTGGTGAATGCGTTTACATTATCGTATTCACTGTTTCGGATTTGAGGAAAGTGGTGGAAAGAGCAAGACTTTAGCTTATGCTGATATTGCCATCATGTTGAA